GCCCACTATTCTTCATACTTGTGGAAGCTGGTAATTTTATACTTTTTTGCACGCCACTGCACCGGTTTCACCGCAAAAGCATGCTATTTTTGTTGTGTGCATGTTGTTACCTACCCCTGTGTGAGCAGCTGCACAAATCCTGGCAATTTTGCTCCGTTTTTCGCAATTGATTCGTTGGCCGTTGCAATTCTGAACCCCGCAGGACTTGTTGAAAAGATTGCAATCTGTTGGGGATTAAAATGCCTTTATTACTGCACCAGTTCTTGAACAAAGCCGTACCTCATTTTCCAGTATCTTCATGAAAAGCAAAGCTACTTGTCGGTTAGGAATCGCCTTCTTCTTTGTGGAAGAGATTCCTGAAGTGCTGGTTCTGAATTCATCGGTCAGGAAAAGTGAATGTTTGGGAATTGACGTGTTGTGCGCTTTTGTGGTTGAACATGCAATTTGCAGGGGAGCCATCTGTACCGACATCACCGCACAATCTTCAGATCAGCCCTCGTGATGCATCCAGCGTTGAGCTTCGTTGGCTACCACCTCTAAGCTCCGTGCACATCCCCTTTTATCAGGCACCGTTTTAATTCCATCGTTGAACCTGTTTTATTTAAAACAAACCCGTCCCTCCCACGACTTATTTTGTTTTTATAATTGAAATTTTTGCCTTCGCACTTTTCAAACTTTTTACAAAATAGCTGGAAATTCATACTTGCTTTGATACTTTGATCACTTGCAATTCACTGAATGGTTCTTCGGCTGTGGCAGCTTTTGATTTGCCCTGATCAACGCTATACTGTCTGGTGGTCAATCTGTGGATGATCCTGGAATTCTTTTTGCCGCCTGAAGGGAGCACCAGCTCAGTACCTCTCCCAACAGAAGCCCTCAGCAAGGCTTCAGCCGTGCCGTGATGTCACTGGTGTGTGTTGAACATCACTATCTCATTTCGATGCTGGAGTGATCCAAAGCTAAGCTAGCTATTCGGAACTTAAAATACGGCAAAACTGTCTGTTAGGAGATACTACCAAAACAAGCCAAAAATTAGGATTTATTTTCGAATAAGAACAAAATGCCTAAACAGTTTTTAAAAAATCGTTTATCTGAAAGGCTTCTACATCCAATATTTTTTCTAAAAATTGTTTAAGACTTTGACAAAAAAAAAAAAAATCAATGCTTCAGTCAGAAAGCTAAAATTCATCGTAATCAGCTCGACATAGTTTAGATCGATATAGAAGATCTGTATACACGCAAAATGCGAACCGAGCAGGTACCGGGAACATTTTTCTCTCACATCATTAGCCAGCTATCGCCGTATTCGATCTATAACATCTCCGTACGTGCGGGCACCGACTACGGTGAACTGGGATTACCGTCTTCCAAAGTTATTTCCCTTCAACAGTACATGGGTAATGTAATTCCCGAACTGCCATTACGTACTCCGGATCTGGAGAAAGACCGAGCGGAACAGGAGGAACAGCGAAGAAGGCAAGAACAGGAGCGCGAACGAGAACGACAGAGGATCGAACAGGAACGTGAAAGGATT